ATGCCTTGACTTACAAGGCAAGTTCTTCTACGTGTGGGCCACATAGTTAACTTAATCTTCAAGCTAACAACATGTGTGGCACATGGCCAACTTGTTGATCACGTTTCTAATCCAAAAAGTCAATTAAAGACACGTATGAAGTCTAAGTAGCATCTATGAAGCTTCGAGGAAGCTTCCATATTAAATACTATAGAATTTACTTACTTCTACCTATTTATATATGTAATGACTAGCTTACATGATTATGTCCGTGACAAATATCTAAGACATAAAATAAACAAAAGATTACAAAATCTAAGATCTTTTATTAAAAAATAAATTTTTATTTTCTTAATAATTAACTCTAGTATTGTTGGATCATTATTTACAATTTTCTAAGCAAAAATTGAATAGATTTATTTTTTATTTATAATTCAAATAACAACTTTTACTAAGTAGATAATCTTGTTATATCAAATTATTAATAAAGATGTCAATTAATAAGATTTACATGCTTAAAAAATAAATAATAATTTTTTTAAATAATAAAGATTTTAACAATATTTGACAAAAATAGTTATATTCAAGCTTGATTATCATAGAAGCTTTACTAATTTATTCGAAATAGCTTAATTTAGATACCTTTGGAAAGTAAATATAGATAAAAGTTAAATTTGATGATCAAGGCTATATAGATCACTTTAAATGATCATTCAAAATGAAAAAGTGTTTTGATTTGAATATTTTGCTTTGCTTGTAACACACCTTTAAGTCCAAAATCTAACAAATTCTTGTGGTAATCATCTTTTATCCACCTCAAGATAGAGAAGTCAAACTTTATTGTACACATGTTGAGAAAGAGAGTTGTAATACTATGACAAAACTTGACTAAGTTTGAAAAACAAGCAATGAGTAATGTCTAAGCATTGTCAAGCAATGTCTTTCCATTACAAAGATCAATACTTGCCTTCAAAACATGTTCATTGTAGAAGACATAAAGGAGAGTTTTATACTTGTTAACTATTAAATTAATGTGCCTTATAGAATAATAGTGCTACAATTGAAAGCTTTATTTACAAGCCTTGGAAATAAAATTGACAGCAAAAATCAAAATAAGCTCATGCAATAAAATATGTGGTAGAAAATATTGGGTTGCATGTGGATTATTAACTATGTCTTGTTGCACAAAGATGTCTTCAATGCAATCATATGCTACAATGAAGACAAGATCAATATCTTGCAATAGATTATTGTACTCAATTTCTTTGGCATTCTTGAAGATGTCTTCAATCTAAGATGCAAGATCAACAACAAATTTGTGCACCTTCAAAAGAGAGACAACATAACAACCATTGATGACATGCATTATTGTGTCTACGCTCGAGATTATTATGATGGTGAGTGAGCCAACAAAGAAATCTATGGAAGTCAAGGAGGGGTACTTGTAGGCTCCTTCAATTGATTATAATCAAAGAGCTTAGGACAATATTTCTTGAACAAGTTAATAATCTTGTCTATAGAAAGCCAACAATTTATAATACAAGAATATCTTGCACCTATTTTTGCAATGAGATTCTACTGCCACATGAAGTGTAAAAAGAAGTCTATTATTATAGAGAAAAAATATTCATTTACCACCACATTCATGATGTGCTTTATAACTAGATTGAACTAATGCAATGTGCATCAAATACAAACCAGTTTGTAATTATCATGAAGAGCTCTATGAAGCCGAGTTATAACATTGGCGGCATGATCAATCATATTTTGAGCTCCATTAATTGACATGCCAAGAAGATGTATCTTCCAATCAGAACAAAATATGTCAATAAATTTAGCAACCGTGTTAAATATGATTTGACATATAGGCCATTCAAAAATCAATAATGCACATCTATGTAGGTTGATAATGATGCATTTCTACTCTATATATACCTAAAAACATAAGTCAAGATATGATATGTTTTATTAGGCTACACAATCAAGCTTCAATAAGAATGTCCACATAATTTGCTTCAATTTGGATAGTCATTGAAAATTGAAAATACAAATTACTTTAACAAAGATTTTCATATTATTTCAAGTACAAGAATGCAATGGCAAAGCAAAAAAGACTTTGTATGTCTTGTCGATGATATTTGTTGTCAGCCAAAATAATGCTCCATAAGGAACATATCAAAATACAAGATTAAATAGTTGCATCATGGTCTTCACAATTATAAGAGTATAAGAATATAATATCTTATTTTTTTTTGTTTCCTCACTATGCTTAAAAAAATGACATTTCTTGCTCTTTTGTCTTTACATCAATTACACAATAATTATTGATTGTAACAACATGTTTGACTTTACTATGAAATGTAGGATCTTCTTCATTTTATTTCAAGATACTATTATTATTGTTGGCTTTGTCCTTCGCTCAATACATCATATCATGAATGATAACTTTGATAATGCATTTTTTAATATGAAATACAATTTCATATTGGTCCACAATTTTAGAAACAAAGTGAGACCTTATAGAGTTTTGAAATAAGATGATGGCATCATGAAAGAAGGCATCTTGCTTCGCTTTTGACTAAAACTATACGCACTCTTAGAATTTGATAGTTTGTTGCTTCTTCATATGCAAGTCAATATTGTCATATCAAAATGACATGCTCCAAACTTGTACATTGGTCATGATCTTGCACTTTGCTCCAACATTTGCCTTGCGAACAAACGTAATATAGAAGTGGCACTACACTTAGTTGATGACCAAAGTAGCAACACAATAGAAGATAATTTTAAAACCATATTGGACATCATTGGTCTTAATAAAGCCCAAGCTATGCTTGTTCTTAGACATCAAAATTGTAGGTATATACACCAACAAATAAAGTAGCTATCTACTACTTTGCTTCATCATTGTATATTTGAAAAAGTGATATAGGCAATGAATAACTATCTTTGTGTGTACAATCTTAATTTAGCCATGTTTGAAAAAGTGATTTAGATAATTAAGGCACCAAAATCTCAAAATATCTATTATAGATACATTTGATTGTATTACATCATAGTATTATTTTTCTAATTTCAATGGCTTATGTGCCATTTAATTGATAAATTTTACAACCACCAAATTTTAGATTTGTTTTGCATAAGTACTATTATATTAGAAAGTATTACTAATTTGTTCATTATATGTAAAAACTGTAATAATAATTACACAAAAAATATATATACATATGTTTTTACTTATAATAATGGTCTATTAGATATAATATAATTTACTTATAATAAATTCTTCAACTCAAAATGCATACCATTTATAAAATAATATCTTTTTTTGAATTGTTTAAAAATGTAACTCATATCAAAAGTAAAATTAATCAAAGTTTTGAATAACTTAGAATATAAATAAATGAATAATATAAAAAATATTAAAAAATTCAATAGTATATTTTAAAAAATAAATTAATATAAAAACTAAGAAAATATTCAAGAAAAAGTATATAAAATAAAAATTAAAATAATTTTTTTTAAAAAAGATCTAAATGAAAAATAATAGCTGAAGAAAAAAATTTTAAAAAAAAAGAATTTAGATAAATAAAAATTAGAAAAGATATGATTAAAATAAATATTATAAAAAATTTAAATTAGCTAAAAAAATTATCCATCAAATATAAGAAATAATATAGCTCTATAACATCATATTCATGTTTATAATTGCAAGCAAAACATCTAATACAAAGTATAAAAAATATTAATTAAGACCATATTTATTTGCAAAAATTCCATACAAAAAACTATAAGCCCAATTAAGATAACTTTATAGTTGGTTTTATCAATATTTTTAAAATTTTGATTTGTTGTTGAGATTTTTACAATCCCCTTAAAAAACTATGTACCAACCATGAAAATTTCATAATCAATTCCATAAACATCCAAAAAAATCTTGAACTTTGAAATTATTTTTAATTACTATCTACTATATAAGATTTGTCAATTTAAATTTGGCCCCCACATGCTCAAACATATGGTCAGTTTTTATACCGATTATTATCCAGACTCATTCACCCAATTCAAGAAATAATAATGAAATATCTAACTGGGAACAAAAAGGATATCAAAGAAGATCAATCCTCTAGAAACAAATGCACAGAGATTTCCTACCTTCACTGCTCACAATTTTCCTGCCTTCACCGTTCTGAGACTCCAGTGGCCCACAAAAAGTTAAAACTCTTCGTTTCAACGTGGCATACAATTGCGAATGAAATCCTTATCTAATCCCACATTACCATATAAATTAACTGTTGGATCTATCTTGTCGACACGTTCATAAGTTCTACAATGCGTTAGAAACGAAAGCTTACTTCACACCGAAGGTGTACAAGAAGTGAAGAAAAACACATAAAAAGAAACAGAGATTACTGTTACACTGAGAGAGACAGAGAAGATAAGGGAATATCCCACCGACCAAGCCGTGCATTCCCGTCTCACCGACGGATCCAGCTCCACTCGCTCCCACTTACTTACCAACCCGGCGGATTGCTCCTGGCCCAACCACCTATCACAGGGTAGGAACCGAACCGTGATGGCGGCTGTAAAGACGACGACGACGGGGGGGGATGTGATAGCACCCAAGCTCTCTCTCTCTTATACCGAAGTGGGACCATTCACTCACTCAACTCAACTCACTTGCCGAATGAATGCTACCATTACGAATTCTCGACGACGACGACACTGTTGCGATCGAATTGGAGTACGAGGACTAGGGGGCGATGAACGAGTCCATGGCATGGCTGGATGAACCCCGGGAGCCACGAAAACGCGAAGACGAGCCAAAGACGGGAAGGGAGAGAGAAGGGAGAGAGAGCTCTTTTTGTTTTGTAAGCGGCGTGGTGGATCATTCCCATCGATGCCGTGTTTCTCGTGCTCACCAACTCCGCCTTCGCCCACGCTTCCTCCTCCTGCGTTTGGAACAGGCTGTTTTCCGTGTCCGGGCTGGGAAGAGGTCTACCTGTGTGGAGCAAGATTTTTTTTTTTTTTTTTTTTTTTTTTTTTCCTCCATTGCCAGTGGCTTGCGTGCCTTGACGCGGCATTTGCAGTTTGCTATCAGATTTTACGTAGACCAGTCGTTCCTGCTCTTGTCGTGGTAGTAGTTATTCCTCTTCTCTTTCTTTTTCGTAGTTTTTTCTTTTTCCTTCTTCTTCCTAGTCTTCTTTTCTGATTTCTATCTTCCAGCCCTCCAGTTCAGATCGTTATCAGGTGTCTTACAATTGGTTCAGTAATTTGGTGTAGAGATTTACTTGTCGCTGATTCTCCCAGTTCTTTGTTCCATAGTCCTCTATCCAAGATGTTGTGATGAATCTGGTTGTGCTGTGGATTTGTCTTGGATGACTTCTCGTGTGGTTGACATGATAGTGTTGTGGACGAATTTTGAGGTTGCTAGGGTGAGTGCTGAGGGCTCGGCTGGTGACATGCAACACGGTCGATTCGGTAGAGGACTCCGAGCAATTGGAGTGACCTCCATCAGGAGTGGTTGTGAAATGGTGTTTTTTTTCAGTTGAACCTGGAACGCGGTGTAGGCTATTGGTGTTCGGCATAGTTGGAGGCCTGATTTGGATTAAGACGTGTTGTGGAAATTGTTACATGGGCGAATCATCTAGGTGGTGAACCAGTTGAGATTGAATGGGATGCAGTGGTCAAAGCAGAGCAGCCGTGTAGCGAATTGCGTGAAATTTTGGCTTTATTGAAAGGATTGAGAGGTGTTTTTATGGTGTTGCGAATCGCTTGTGCAGTTTCTTGGCTGTGTTTGATTAGGTCGGCTTAGAAATTATACATTTGAGTATATTAGTGCCTCCATTGTCGACTTCTTTTTCTCCGCACTACGGTATGCTCATGCTTCTGCCGTGATCTTGATTTTGGAAAGAAGGATTGAAGATTTGAGTTTTCGCGGCTCCTTCGTGTACTCGACTATTTCCGTGTACTGGGTGCCAGCTTCCCCAACGCAACTACACGTATGTTTCATAGGATCTTGTGGAAGATTTCCGTAACCTCATGTGATTGGGGCAAAGTAATTCTTACTGGTCAAATACCTGTGTCGATTCTAAAGGAGAGAGGTTGCACGTGATGTGGACGCCACGGAGTTGAGGGCTTGAATTTCGACCAGTAAGCCCAATGGCAGCGTGCGTGTTGGAACCAAATAGACCAAGGATTGGCAGCACGATTCTTGGTCATCTTGTCGTTGGATTCGTGGTCGGGGTGGGACTCGTTGCAGGTTTTAAATACTTTTCGGACAAACGAAGTAAATGGAGATTACAGAAGGTGCACCGTCTTTCACACTCTGAAGGGAGTTTGCCACGCTTTTTGTGCTTATCTCAGTTTTTAAGATCTGATCAGTGCTTATTATAACAATTTCCAATAACAACCTGGATAAATTCTCATGCTCAACACCGACCTTTTCACTGAAATTTGAAAGAATTGGTTGTAGTAGAATGGAACTTCGCAATGCCATTACAGAAACTCAAAATATATTGGCATTGCGAAGTTCCATTCTACGAGGCTAATTTCAATTTATTGTCGTAGAACTCAAAAAATATTTTCCTCGTTACAAGTGGACTGGTCTCCTGTCTAATGCGTATTTCATAAGGAGAAATTTTTGAGATGATATTGGTTTTTGGTTTTTTATGTACAGATTGCTGGAATACATCTCTTAAGCCTAGCAGATGAATTTGACTTCAAGAGGCTCTGTAAGGAAAGTTATCCGAGCCATATTTCATTCCTAACTTTTGAGAAGGTATAGAGACGTGAACCTCAGTGGAAACTGAGAGCTTTAACTTTATTTTTTGTCGGTGAACAATGTATGCTGTCTGATATCCAGCATGAAAAAATCATTCTGTAATACGTCTGCATTAATGCTGAAGTTTCCTAGGCAACTAAGTATGATGTATACATTCGTTCTGCTCATGTCTTGAATGGTAAGGTGTGATTTTAGCACACAGGTGAAGATGCTTATCCTGGTAGGACTTAATGTCTCTTGGCAGGTTAGATGGGTAAATGAAATTCTGGAGAAAATCTGGCCATTTGTAGTAGAGGTATGCGCATTTTTCTTTGTGAAGAGATGCCATTATCATTTTCTACTGCAGCTACTTTTATGCTTTTGATATCCATCAATTTCATTGCGACTTTCGTCCAGTAATCTGTGGTACTGTGTGCCTCTTCAAGTTAACCGAAGCTCCCTGTTTAAAACAGATTCAGTTCGTAATGAAGTGGATTTGCAATGTTTTTTCTGTGCAGGCCACGGAGAAACCGGGGAAGGAGTGGCTTGGACCAGTCGTAGAATTCTACAGGCCTACTAGGATTTCATCTCTCACAGTCGAAAAGTTCCATCTTGGAAAAGCGGCTCCCCATATTGATGGTTAGATTTTGGGATACACTAAGCTTTCTTAAGTGATTCTGGTGTTTAGACCAATATGTTTGGTTTACATATTTTTGCTGACAGCAGATTTTTCCTTGGGCAGGAATTAGGGTGCAAAGCTTGCGTAAAAGTCAGGTGCACTTGGACATGGATTTCAAGTGGGGTAGTGAAGGCGATGTTGTGCTTAATGCGGCCATCATGGGCTCCAATGTTTCTATTCAGGTACTTGAAGACCTTGTTCAGTAGTGCCCACTTGTGCTGGGTCATTGATTATATGCTGCATTTGCAGCTACCCACTGAAAGTAACAGCATAGAGTTGTTCTTTGGATCCTTGTGAGTGAGTTGTTGGATTTTGTTACCACAACTTTCCAGTTTCATGCATTTACTTCAATAAATGTGTGGCTCCCGTGTCAAGGCTAAGAATCTTGTGCTTGTCATCTTGCAGTTAAAAGATCTGTCGTTCTATGCAACAATTCGGCTGATCTTCCAGCTTTCAGACCAGATTCCCTGCATCTCAGCCTATGTTGTTGCTGTTCTGCCTGATGTAAGTTGACTTCAGTTCTTGGAGCAACCTGTAGAAATCATTCCAACTATATTTCCAAGTCAAAAGTAGTGTGCTGTGCTGGTCCTACGGCGGTATAAGGGTGAGTTTAAGGTTATAAGGAGAACTGTAAGTTGAAGTGCTGCATCCTTTTGATTTTGTGCAATGTCTTTAACCACTGATAGTGTTATTTACGTGCAGCCAAAATACCGAATCGATTACAACCTAAAAGTTGGTGGAGGCAACACTGCAGCCATTCCTGGATTAGGTGACATGATTGAGGTTAAAACCCCAACCTAGGATTTTATATCGTCAATCCTGCATTAACCTTGGAGAATTTAATGCCAAATCATCTCTACTGTTTTAATTTTCTGCGACATTTAATTTGCAATGGAATTCATGATGGTTGCCCCAGTCATAAGATGTCTTGAAGTGTGTGTGTGTGTATATTGTGAAGGATTTGGTGCATAGCTGTATTACAGATATGTTGGAGTGGCCCCGCAGGCTTATATTTCCTATTGGTGACACCCCTATGAACGTTACAAGGTGATTCTTTCCGTACTATTTTTCTGTAACTAGGAGACGGCTGCTCTCTTGATTCCTGATTTCTTACGCTGTTTACATTTTCAAGTTCATCGGTCAGACGGAACTTGATATTGAAAAAGCATGCATTAGACATCTTTTGTCCTACAAACGACATTGACGTCTGATATTCTTTTATATGTTATGATGTCTCGTTCATTGATACATATGCTCAAGCTGATGGGGAGAGATTTAACTTTAAATTGAATCATAAACTGCAATGTCAATATTTAGGCAATTTTTCACGAGTAATTGTTTGTAACATTGTTGTGCTTGGCTGCAGTGATCTGGAATTAAAGCCTCAAGGCAAGTTAACGGTCACTGTGGTGAGGGCTAACGATCTGAAAAATATGGAAACAATTGGCATATCAGATCCGTATGTTGTGCTTTATGTACGGGTTCTCTTTAAGAAAAAAACTAGAGTCATCCATCACAACCTAAATCCAGAATGGAATGATCCTGATTCAGTCTTTCATTTTGATGTGGAGGATACTGAAACACAGACTCTGGTGTTGCAGGTTTGCGCCTCTTAACTGAACTCATTCTGTAAATGCTCTATTTTCATTGATATATTCGAGGGGCCTTTCTTTCAAGAGTCCCAGTAATTTTTGAGTGGCTAAATTTATTACAGACATAAAGTTTAGGCCTTTACGTCAATTTTGGAGTCAATTCTTTAGATAATCTCATGCGACATCTGGTTGTGGTGGCTGATGTTTTACTCCATGCACTCTGTTGTTGATTTCTGCCAGAGTAGCAGGTTTTATGATTTTCTCGTATTGGCTATCTTTACAGGTCAAAGACGAGGAACATTTTGGAACAGATAAAGAACTTGGTGTAACTGTAGTGCCACTGTGTGTTTTGAAACCTGATACCGAAATCGAGATAAGAAAAAAATTAGCTCCATCTTTGGACACTGTTAGAGTAAAAGACGAAGGTGACCGTGGCTCAATTACTGTCAAAGTAAGTATGACTATCTATTCTCTTGATGTTTTTATTCGTCCTCTCGTAGAAAAACATACATTTATGTCTTCATAGAGTTTCAAAGAGCTGATGATGTATTGGCTGAGAGCTGAATTGCCTATTCGAAGCGGCAGCACTCCACAGTTTACATTCAGACAGTATATGCAAATCAAAGACCTATCTATATGCATATGCTATCTAACGTAAACGCATTAATTTGCCTGTGTTCAGCCTCTTTAAATTATCGACTCATATTGAGTTTCGAACACTAGATGGTGCATGAAACTGAATTGCTATGCATCACATGTACGTTGTGCTGTTACTGTCAACTATCCAGCTTTCAATTGTCACTAACACGTTAATTTACATGTATGCCTCCAGCTCTTATACCATCTGTACACGGAAACAGAGCAGCTCAGGGCTATGGTTGAAGAAAAAGAAGAGATCCAGGCAAAAGAAGATCTGAAGAATGCAGGTGTAATTGGAGGGAATATGGATGCTTTGACTAAAAGTCTCAAGCCTTCGAGGAATGGCACCGAAACCGTAGAGTCGGGTGTGATGAAGGTTGGGAGGATGATGAGTAAGGGAATCAAAAGCTTTATACATGACAGTTTGTCGCCACGCTGAATGGCTGTTCCGACTCTAGATAGATTAGGTGTTCCGCTCTCCATACATTGTAAACTGTGGTTTATTAGCTGAATCTGTTTTGCACTCGATCTTTAATTTGCATTCAGATAGTATATGCTATTGTTGAAAACATGTTTTCTTAATAAAATTCCAATTTTGAGCATCAGAAGTTGCAGATCAGTCTTGAATAGGTAGAAAATGTCAATTGTATTAATTTTACAAATGTCTACCCCTCTAAATTGCCTGAGGGTTTTCATTTTTAATTTAATTTTATAATTTTAATATATACTAGCATTGGGAGCTTAGCTTTGGAAGTGTTATGTTAAAACAATAGAAATAACCAATTGTTTACTTTAAATGATTTTCCTTTCAGTTTTACAATCACATTTTTTATGAGATGTTGTACTAAAACAAAATATTGTGGATAACTCATTAGTCCAATATATTTACACACATATATATATATATATATATATATATCTGTATATATCCACATAAAAGGCAAATACATACACACACATTTGTTGTAATACGGTAATTCTCAAAAAAACTAAAAAAATAAAAAAACATTTTATTAATACAATCATTTTTCAAATAAATCTATTTTAGAGTATTTTAAATTTTATTCTACCAATTAAATTTTACAATTTAACAAACCAAATAAGAAAATATAACATAATTTAACAATTAAACAACAAAAATAATATATAAACATCATAAATTAAATTGCCAATATATGCTTTACAAAATTTTATTTATTTATTTTTTAAAATAACATTATACTAGTGTATAATCAATTTACATATTGTAATTTTGATTTTTTTTTTTTAAATTTAAAAAGAAAAAATTGGAAAAAAAATATTATAAAAATATAATAATTTTGAACCCATAGATTGATTGAATATTCCTTAATAATTGCAATTTAATTAAAGGATTAAATAGCAAATAAAGAAGTTATTTATTGGTAAGATAAAAATAGAATATATTCTAAAAATAGTCAGTAAAAAGCTTTGTAGAAGGATTGTGAAAGGTAATAAATAAAATTTACTATGGTGGATAAATTTTTTTTTTAAAAAAATTTATTAAGAAAAAATAAATAAATATAATACAACATTTATTGATAAGATGTATATTTTAATATTTATCTTCATGTGTTCTCTTTAGAGAATTATTAGCACTACATTCCCAATTAATATTGCTATACTTCATATGATCTTTTGTCAAGGACAAGAACATGATAAAAAGAAATAAACAAGTGAGACTTCTCTCAAAAAAAGATGACAAAATAGAAATAACTTGATATGTATATTAAGAAAGAAATTGGAATGGCTATTGTCAAAAGCCAAGAAAACTAAAGACCCTTGAAACTAGACTAGAAGCAAGAAAGGAGTTGACAAGAGTGAAGAAGGCTTTATTCTTGTCTCTATATATACTATCTAACTAGGGGCTACGTGGCGATGTTCTATAGGACCTCCAATATGTGTTGACTTTGTAGGACACATGCCTTGACTTACAAGGCAAGTTTTTTTACGTTGCGTATTACATGCTTTCCTGCTTGAGAACGCACTGGGCGTCTGGCTGTAAGAGGTAGTATGGAGATTTACTAATATTCAAGCAGTCTATCGGTTTTTGACTATTAGAATATAAACGATTGTAAGAATATACTATAAATCTATACGGATGTCCTTCGACTGCTCGCCGAAATCCTTTTTGCTCCAGCCGGTAGGTCTCTAGACATTACAGAGAACCCCAAACAACCCAATCTATTAATCTCCAATACCGCTTTATACTCACGACCTTGTATCCATTGACTGTCTTGTTAGATTAACCCAAAAATTTTCATTCACTCCGCATACTCAATCCTATAGACACCCTTTTAATTCTTCAATCACAAACGTAACTTCGATTTTACAAAAAAATCAAGAGTAATCACATCCACTTTATTAAAACCTCGATTCACCAATACAACACTGACTTTCAGCAACGATTGCCTTAGTCTTCCCAAAACCCTATGAAGAAAAAAAATCCCAAATTCTCTGTCTTTTCTCCCCCCTCCTCTCTCCGAAGCATGAAGCTAGCTCTCTGATCCTTAAAACTCCTATTCTCTCTCCTTCATTTCTTAACCTATCCTCTCTTTTAACCCTAATTCTCCCATCTTTCAACCCTAGCCTCTGAATTTCTTCAATCTTCCGTCTTAGATCTAAAATTGGCTCCGCCATCAGAGCTTTTTCATCCATTTTTTTTTTTCCTTTAAAAAGGTTCTTTTTCCGAAAACAACGTTCTCTGAAATGACACAAAGAACAGGACAGCCTGAAATGGAATCGAAACTCTCGTAATCAAGACCACATTGAGTCGCCCGACCAATTCAGGTCTCATATTGGTTAAGAGGCCGGTAGTAAGACCTAGATGTTCCCCTAATTGGGTCAAATTAGTCCTTCGCGTTAGGCTCGCTCAGTCATTGATTTAGTCCTTTTGATTCTGTTGACTCCTACTATTGGACTCGAACGGAGCATTTCGTTACTGATAAGTATGCCCTGACCGACTATGATGGGGTCTCTAAACTGGCCCCTGAATATTGGCACTGAAATCGGTCGTTGCTCCCAATATTCGAGGTAACTGAACATTAATAAAAGTCCCCTTTCTTTATATTTTCACGGTATACTCGTGTTACAATACGACATCCACCCCCTCTGAACTTGTGTATCCTCCGATATGCACCAATTTATCCAATTGTTGTTTGATTTATAATATATTCTCTATGTCTTTGTCCAGTTCGTCTTCGTCACCTTTATTATCCAAATCACTTTCATCTTCTTGCTGCGAAATCTCTATACCTTCATTAAGGTCTTCCATATTCATTTCTACATTTCTGTGTTTAAACAATTTTACTCTCTTCCTTGCAACTGGTATTTTTAACCTTGTGCCATCTAACTCCTGCAATGAGTAAGTCGCATTATCATGAACAGTTGTTACCACATACGGTCCAAACCAACGTTTTGAAAACTTTCGTAAAGTGCTATATTGGTTGTCCAGACTACTATCATAAACAAGTACCCAATCACCTTCTTCAATTGCTTTAGGTCTCAATCGATGTTGCTTATCGAATCGCGCCTTGTTTTGTAACCTTGCTCTTTTTAACCTTTCTAATGCTATTTGCACATCTTCTGATCTTTGTTCCAATTGTCGAATCCTAATAGCCAGAAGTTCTTCTCTTGTCAATCCATCTTCCTACGGTAGCATACTCCAAGTAAGTACCCTTTCTTCAATCGGCATAATTGGTTTTCGACCTGTCATAAGTTCTACTGGCATATATCCTATCACCAAACTATGTGTTGTTCGATCAGCCCATAATGCAAATGACAAAAGCCGTGGCCACTCTCTAACTTTTCCATTACAAGCTTTAATTAATGCTTTCACAATCGATAGATGACCACGTTCACTTTTTGCATTCCCTTCCACATTATAAGCAGTAGTCAGTGATAGTTTAACTCCACATCTTTCAAAGAACTTATGAACTTCTTGTACATTTAATTCTTCTCGATCTGCAGTGATTTTCCTACGCATCCGTAGCAGCAAATGACATCTTCAAGCAAAAACCTACAAATCTCCTCTGTAGATTTTGTCCTCAATGCTCTTCCTTCTACTTGATTTGATAAATCTTCACAAGCTAAGACCAAATATCTCATCTGCCATAATCCACCTGGCATAATAACCAAATCAACAATCCATTTAAAATGAATAGCCAGAGGATACATAGGATGAAGACCATCTCGATGTCGGATATTAGAATACGATTGACAAATTTTACATGACTCTACAAATGAGAGCACATCTGGATACATATTTTTCCACCAATATCGTTCCTTGAGTTTAGTAAAAGTAGCCCAGATTCCTCTATGCCTTGCCCATAAACTATCATGAAACTCCTTTAATAATTTTAGTTTTTCTTCCTTTTTGCCTATCACTCGTTGTGGCATCCCAATTCCTTTTTTTGGTCTCTTCCATAAGAATCCATCTCGAAGCAAAAATCCATATACTTTTTTTCTTATTTGTTTGAATTTTTCTATAGACCAATTTTCCTACTTAGTCAAGGTATTCAAGTATTGACCAATATCCAATAATTCTCCTTCATAAGATTCTTCAAGAAATAGCTTGTCTTCTTTGTTGAGATTTGATATTGAATAGAATTTCAATCCAACGTCATCAATATCTTCAACCATTTCGTCCTTCTTCTTCTTTCTTACTCGAGATAGCATGTCTGCTACTAAATTGTCCTTCCAAGTAACATGCTTAAATTCTAGATTTAGTGACTTAATATAAGCAATCCATCTCAACATTGCAATATCTGGCATTGAACAGTTAGTATTCATTCCAAGCAATGGCAAGCAATCTGTTTCAATTACTACTACTGCCCCAATCAAATAGTCCTTTTCAGCTTTCATAGCCGAAACAACTCTCCAAAGTTCTCTTTTGACTTGCGAATATGCACGCTGAAGAATACTTAAAACTTTAGCTCCAAATCGAACTGCAAATCTATTCCCACTTGAATCATCTTGACCCACAATCCATCCAATGGCAATTGGACTAGTATCCACAGTAAGAATCACTGGTCTATTGTACTTATATCAACTTTCCTCAATATATGAGGTGACATCAATAATTTCTTCAAACTTTACATTACCTGAATATGCCTTTCTTTCCATTTAAATCGGTAGCCCTTGCATAACAGTTCATATAATAGATCCGCTATGTGAGCATAATGAAGGATCCAGATTCGATAAAATATATATGCACCTAAAAACCTGCGAACCTCTGTTAAAGATTCACAATCTTCTTTCATCCTTTCAATTGCATCAACTTTAGTCGGATCAAGTTTTCTTCCATAAGATCCACATAAATATCCAACAATCACAACCTCTTGTACTCCAAATACGGACTTCATACCAGATAATGTAAGATGAACTTCTCCAAGCCAAGTTAAAATCTTTTCACAATCTTGTATACGATCAACAACATATTTGCGACACCTCCTCTTATCTAAAGTTTCATCCTTCTCTCCTTCTCTGCACACTTTTATAGGAACATCATCCAGAAAAGGCATAGTCTTCTCTGGAATAAAATCTCTTAATACCTTATTCATCCCATTCATCATATGCGCAACTGAGT